CTATATATATAAAATATATTTTACTATAAGTTCACAAATATATGATGAAATTCATTATTTTGTATCCTAACCTAAAAATTAATAACAATTTTTAAAAATCATGCTTGAACAAGTAGCTATGTATATGCAAAAGAATGAAATTGGATTTCTTCCTTCTACTACATACAAAAATCAATTCTGGACAGATAACAAATCTAATATAAGAGCTAAAATCATTAAACTTTTGAAAAAATATAGGTATAACTCTCCATGATCTTGGGCTAAGAAGGGCCAAGATATCTTATATATGTATCTTATATATGATACCCTATTGGCAATTTGGGTAACCTCTTCAGAGGATGGTGTGCTAAGAATAGGAGGTAGGAACTGGCTAGGCAGTTAGGGTAAAAAGACCCCAAAGAAAAGTAGCCATTTTCTTCGCTAAAAGTCACAATGTCCTTGGGCCTCTTAGCAACATACTGTGTTCCAAAGGCCAAAAACATCAAAAGTATTTGGGAGTGCTTATGTAATCCCTAAAAGATTTTAGGGATACCTCTTCAGAGGGGGGAATGTTAGAGTAGCAAAAAGCCCAAGAAAGAAAGAAAAGAAAGGGGGGAGACAGAGAGAAAGAGAGAGGGAGAAAGAGAGAGAGAAAGAAAAAGAAAGAAAGAAAGAAAGAAAGAAAGAAAGAAAGAAAGAAAGAAAGAAAGAAAGAAAGAAAGAAAGAGCAATAAAGTTAAAAAAAATAAGGTCTCAAGCTGGCTCTACTGGCAAAGGTGCTTGCTGTGCCACGCTGGCAACCTGAGTTCAATCACTGGAGCTCATGTCTCCTAGTTAGCATCAGCTGTCAATCTGACTCATCCCAGAGTTATCTAAGGAGTCCCAACTGGCCTATGGGCATGCCTGCAGGGCATTTTCTTGATTGTTAAGTGATGTAGGCGAGCAATGACCACTGTGGGAGGTACTATCCCTAGGCAGGGGGACCTGGGCTGTACAAAAAAGCCAGCTAAGTAGAGGCTCCAGAGTGAGCCAGTAAGCACCTTTCCTCGACAGTTCCTACCTCAACTCCTGCAGGAGTTCTTGCCTTGACTTCCCTCAGTGATAGACAAATGTATAGAGACAGAAAGCAAGTTAGAAGTTTCCACAGGTTGGAAGGATGGGGAGCAGAGAGTAACTGCTAATGATATGGGGGCTTTTAAGAGACTGCATAATTTTAAAAATACTTTATTCTTTGAGAATTTCACACAATGTATTTTGATTGTATTCACTCCCCACTCCTCCCCATAATTCCTTCCAGATTTCCACACACACCGCAACTTCATGTCCTCTTTTTATTGTTTTTCCTTTTAAAGAACCCATCAAGTTCATTTTGTGCTACCCATATGCTCCTGGGTGTGGGGAGACTGCTGGACCTACCAAGAGCCACACTCTTAAAAAAAGTGACTCTCCCTCCCCAAGAAGCTATCAACTTTCCATAACTCCTCAGTTAGGGGTAGAAGCTCATGAGTGCCTTCCCTTCCATGCTAGAATACTGACTGCCTTGATCTCTGAAGGTTTTGTGCAGCAACCACAGCTGCTATGAGTTCATGAGTGCAGCAGTCCTGTCCTGTCACTCCTGTCCTCCCTGACTTTACAATTTTCTACCCCCTCTTCCAGGATGATACTTGAGCCTTGAGGGTAGAGAATATGATACAGATGTCCCATTTGGGGCTGAGCATCCCACTGAAACTTAATTCTCTGCACTTGACCAGCTGTGAGTTTCTGCATTAAGGGAGTGTATAATTTTAAAAAGACCTAAAAATGGTTATGAAGACAGTTCTGTAACCCTGTGCTATACTAGTCACTGAATTTCATAGGTGAAATTTTTTTTCCCCATGACATTTTTCACAGAATTGGAAAAAAAATCCTAAGATTCATATGGAAGCACAAAAAGACCTCTGATAGCCAAAGCTGTTGGGGGACCCTGCTGCTAAGTTTGTAGTCCTCCATGTCCAGACAGCTCTAAGAGGCCTGGCACTATACAGGACTCCCTTTCTCAACGGGGACCTCCTGCTCTCTGCCTGACTTACCTGGAAAGTGCTGCCAAGCATGGATGCCTGACCTTATTTAGAACATGACCATTGGCATAGTTACCTGCACTAAAACTACCCCTAGGTTTTTTCTATATGATAATTAGACATTGCCCTATAGTCGGATGATAGGATTCCCCCACCACATGTAAATAAAGCATACTATGAGCACCTATCAGCCGAAGCTTTGGCTGCTGCCTCCACACTATATTTTCCCTGACTCCCACTGAATAAACGGAGCTGTTTCACTGAATCTGACTCCCCAGAAAGTCTTTTCCATTGTGCTCACTGGCCGTCCTGAACCCATTCGTAGCTTCTGCTCCCTTTGTCCTCGTGTATCAGTGGCCAACAACCCATGAGGGGAGGGAGAGACCCGTGTGTGTGTGTGTGTGTGTGTGTGTGTGTGTGTAGGGGAAGGTGCATGTGACTTCTAGGAGTCAGTTCTCTTCTTCCACCATATGTGCTCCAGGCATCAAACTCAGGTGGTCAGACTTAACAGCAAGTGCCTCTGCCTGCTGTTCCATCTCACCAGCCCAAATTATACATTTTGGATGAGTTAATGTGATGGTATGTGAATTATACCTTGGTAAAAATATTTTTTAAAGACAATATACAATTAACTACAAATCGCAAGGCATGAATTTGAGGTCTACCTAAGCTACATAAGCAAGACCCGTCTTATTTAGAGTCTTAACTAAATAATAAGTCAATTTTAATTATGTTTGTTATACACCATGCACTTTAAAACTCAATCTTCTTTCCTACAAAAGCAAAGTATAAATTAATGGTAAAATTCTAGCCAGGCCTGGTGGCCCAAGACTATAATCTAGTTACTTAGGAAACTGAGACAGTAAGATCACAACGTTGAGGCCTGCTTGGGCTACGGAGTAAAGTTCAAAGTCAGCTTGGGAAACTTAGCAAAACCCTATCTCAAAATATAAGGTAAAAAGGGAACCAAGTATAGCCTTTGCCTAGCATGTTGGGGCCTTAGGTTCAATTACCAGAACTTAAAAATGGGGCCAGGGGTAAATTCATTCACTTACTTGTTTTGATTTTATTTATATTGTTGTTGTTGTTTAAGACAAGGTCTTGATACATAGCCCAGGCTGGTCTGGAACTTACTATGTACCCAGGCTGGCCTTAACTTGATATTCAACCTCAGCCTCCAAGTACAGGGATTACATGAATGGGGCACCATGCCCAGTTTCATTCACTTATTTTTAACAAACAAAAATACCTGTAAAGAAAAATGAGCTTTACAGACTAAGGTTCTATAGATTTTCTTGAAGTATGCCATGATAAATAAACTGCTCAGCATAGCTGAGCATGGAGGCACATGCCTAAATCCTAGCATTTGGGAAGTTGAGACAGGAGGATTCTGAATTTGAGGTCAGTCTGAACTATACAGCAAGACCCTGTCTAAAACAACACAAAAATAGATAAATAAAACAAAAATGCTAAATACATAGGCACTTACTTCAGTATTTGGTAATAATAGGAAACCATAAAACTTCAAGTTCTTGGTAAAGAAATTCAATTTATATGATTGTTAAAATATATATATTATCCAAGACTCAACACTGAAACAGTGTGCTTTTCACTGAACTAGTTAACAAATTTACCACAGTAAATTTACCTAAGTAGCTATCTTTAATTTCTAAAGTAAAGGTGAGGAGACTGAAGGACTAAAGGCTAAACATGTACCAGTTTCTGCAAATAGCTCAGGAACAGAAACACAATACTATAATACTTTTTTTTTTTTTTTCGTCTTTCTGTCTTTTTGGGACAGGGTCTCCCTATAGCCTCGGCTGGCCTGGAACTCTTTATGTGGACCAGGATGGCCTTGATCTCACAGAGATCTGCCTGCCTCTTCCTCCTGAGCACTGGGACTAAAGGTTGGTGCCACCACACCCTGCTAATACTTTTAATCTTTAAGTTGTCATATGTAAAGATGGGTTATCTATGAAATATTTAGATACTGGTTTAAAATGTAAACAAGGGTCAGAGAGATGGCTCAGCGGCTAAGAGCATTGTCTGCTCTTGTAGAGTACCCAGGTTCAGTTTCCAGAACCCACACGGTGGCTAATAACCATCTGTAACTCCAGTTCCAGAGGATCCAACACCCTCTTCTGGCCTCTGCTTACACTGCATGACACACTGTATACTTAACACACATGCAGGTAAAATTCATACACATAAAAATAAATTTTTTTAAATATAAAAAGGAAAAATGTAAAAATGTAAACTGTTTTCAGTATGGCTATCTAAAGAAAAGAAGATCTACTTATTTATTTAAAATATCCCTTTGGGGGCTGAAGAGATGGTTCAGGAGTCAAGAGCACTGACTGCTCTTGCAGAGGACCTGGGTTCAATTCCCAGCACCCACGTGGCTGCTATGAACCACCCTTAATTCCAGTTCCAGGGGAATCTGATGCCCTCTTCTGACCTGCACAACATGACATGGTACACTCACATACATTCAGGTAATACACTTATACACATAAAATAAAAATAATAAAATAAATAAAATACCCCTTTTATCATCACCGGGAAATTTTTGCTTTCAAAGCTGCTTGACACTCAGGAGGAAATTTTATTATATTGTATAAGCTCCTGGTTAGTTATATTTTAAAGGGTTGATACTTCTAAATTTTAGTCACTTCCAGTCCCATGTCATAAATACTTTCCATCAAATCAGCATGCTTTGCTGCCTTACCTATAGTATGTCCTCGTCTTAGTTACCGGCAAGCAGCTAAGACACTGTCTGTAGATCCTGTTCTCATCTGTTGCTAGTTCTAATCCACACTGTACACAGCCAGTATATATAATGTTAGGAAGAGAGGAGAAGATACTCTTCAGAGAACTGCACGCATTTAGAGCTATCTTCTGAGCTGCTGCAACAGAAAATGCCAGCTCTGAAATCTTGGCTTTAATCAGAACCACTCCTATATAAAAAGAGGAATATTATAAATTATAAGATCCAATAATAACTTTAATTGTCAAATACAGTTAATAGTGTAGTTGATTTACAGTCACTTACACTAATGGCTACACCAAGGTCTTGTTATTGGACATCAATCTTTCCTAGAGAATCTTACCTACTTATGGTTTCCATACAGAATCTGGAATTTAACAGGGGATTTGTCTGCAACTGAGAGACAATCTGAGATCCTGCTCAAAAAGGAGGTGGGAAGAAAAAAAAAAGGTTTCTTGTGTCATTCACTGGAACCTCAAGCATGGTCACTGACTAATGATTACTTCTTCATCTGTTAAATAAGTATGGAACAGCTACTATATACCTTACAGTCTTTTCCCCCAGCTTTATTTTTACTTGCATTCTTCATACTAGCACAGCCTATGAGTCCATCTGAGCATTACCCTCCATATTCATTTCTTCATTCTTTTGTTAGTTAGCTTTTCATTGGTAGGGCAAAATACCTGACATAACTTAAAGGAAGGAAGATTTATTTTGGCTGGGGGTTTCAGAGGACCCAGTTCAGCACTGTGGGTAGAGCAGAGCAAAGCAGCTCACATTATGTCAGCCAGGAAGTAGAGAGAGAATGCTGGTGCTAGCTCCATTTCTCCTTCCCCTTTTACACTCTCTGGGCCTCCAGCCTATAGGATGTTGCCACCCACATTCAGAGCAGCCCTCCCCCTTAGTTATCTGCCTGTGGAAATGTCCTTACAGACATAGGCAGAGTTATGCTTCACTAATTTCCTATGTCCTTCTTAATTCAATCAAGTTATCAATAAGCTTAACCATCACAATCCTCTTAAGAGGTCAGAACACTGTAGATCATGATGTCCACCTCTATTCCACTTTCTGGCTATTTCTTTTGAAGTTCTTAGTCTCTTCCACTTGCCTTAGCCTTTCAGTGCCCCAAAACACTTCCATGACATCTACTCACACCACATAGCCCTACATGAGTTGTAGAGGAGGTTGTGTTCATATATCTAATAACCCGGCACACTCAACATCACACTTGCCCAGACATGTTCAATTACTATAAAAAAAAAGTTTTTAAATGAAAAATACAATAATTTAAAAAGACTGTTGATAGAATCCTGTCATTTTATAAATCTGTACATCTCTTTAAAAGAATAAAGTGGTCATTCTAAATGTGGATTTTGCTTTCAAGAGGATTCTAGCCTGCTGGGCACTAAGTTTCTGCTGACTGTGGGAGAAACTGAGTGAATATCTCCATTTCTTTAGGAGGAGCCAGGCCCAACCTATCCTCTGGTTTCTGCCAGCAAGCAGACCCTCTTAGGAACTCTTCCCATTGATATTCCTTTCTCCCACCTTTTGTTTAACTATGAAATGGGCTAGAAAAAAATGCTTGTACTTGCATGTTCTCTTTCCATTTTCATACTTAATTTGATTTTCAAAAATTTTATGAGTGTATTGCTGCACTTACATAAGCGTGCCTGTGTCTTGCAATGCCCGCAAAGGTCGGAAGAGGGCATTGGATCCCCTGGAACTAGAGCTATGGAGAATTGTTAGCCACGATGTGGGGTCCTGGGATTCGAACCCAGGTCTTCTGCAAGAGCAGTCAGCACTCTTAACCACTAAGCCAGCTCTCCAGCTCCCCATTTTCATATTTAAAATATACAATGATAGAAACTATGAATTTAGTCCTTGGGGCTAAAGAGGCCTTTTGAATACAACCCATCAAAGACTGGCTACAATAGCACTGTTTTGGCATGAGTTCCTGATAAGGAGTATACCCCTAGAATTTCCAGGAACATTCCCAATGTTCAGCCTCATCCCCAAGCCAGTGGGGCTGTATCTTTTCTGTCATTAATCATCAGTTTTGTGGTCACCTATTTCATCCAACACCTGTGAGATTGTTTAAATTTATATTTTTAAGTCTAATTCTAGGTTGTTAATCCTAGCAGATAACTGTCTTGTTTACACAAACAGATAAAGCTGACTCTTCTATGTCAACAAATGAAAACTTGATATAAGGTAACAATTATGACATTTCTTCTTAATGTAGCATCTGTGTGGGCTGTGGGATTTTGAGGGTGGACACTGGTTTAGGAATTGATACGATGTTACAATACCCAAAATTTCACTAGTTAGTATAAATCTAGACTCTGGCCACGAGCAACTTCAACTTTGAAAGTGGTATAAAAGTCATCAATATAAAAGCTTATACTCTTGAAAAAAAAACAAAAACCTCTGTGTTTCTTAAAAATACTAATTTATCTGTTAATACTAATAAAAGCTTCAAAGTCAGACTACATATATGGAGTTCTTTTCTGAAAACAAACTCTCTGATTTTGACTGTGTTTGTTTCATTATACACTTCCATTTTCCTTAGCTTAGTTTTATCACATAACAATGCTAACCTGTTATCATATCTTGGAAAACATATATGCATATGGATATTACTTTTCTCATCACTATGGCCAGACACCTGACAAAAAGCACCTCAAGGAAGGAAGGGTTTATTTTGATTCATAATTCAAAGAATGCAATCCACCTTTGGGGAAGGCAAAACAGTAGGAGTGTGAAATAGCTTGTCACACTGTACCCTCAGGCAATATAGAGAGAGGGATGCTCAGTTCACTTTCCCCTTCTCCCCTTTTTATTCAGTCAGGACCTCTGCCTATAGGATGGTATTACCCTTATACAGAGTGGGTGTTCTTTCCTCAGTCAGACCTCTCTGGAAACACCCTCACAGACACAAGCAGAGGTGTGTCTCCTAGGTAAATCTAAATGTAGTCAAACTGACAAGGAAGATTACCCATCACAATACATATATGAATTAACATGACTAGTAAGATTTTAATCTGTCTTTTGGCCAAAAAAAGCTCTTAGAATCTCAGAATGATAAGAGTATGTTTTGTATGCTAGTATTTATTTGAAGTGACTAGGGTCATGATGCGAATATCTGGGACCCCTTGGATATCGTGACTGAATATATATGATCAGCACATGCCAGGAATAGAATAACCCCAACCCCCAACAGAGCTGGGAATGATGCTTTTTCTATAAGCTGGAGTGGAAAATCTCACAACTCACAGGGCACTGGATAGAGAACTCAGAAGATTTACTTAGAAGGAAATTTATGGCACGAAAGAGCCACATAGGTGAAATAAATCCTCACATCAGAGATCTTAATTTCCACCTTAAATAAGAAAAAGCAAAACCCAAGTAGGCAGAAGAAAACAATATAGATCAGAGCAAAAGTGAATAAAATAGAAAATAGAAAAATCTGTAAAACCAAAAGATGGCTGAGATCAATAAAATGAAAAAAAGAATGGAAAAAAAGAAGACACAAATTACCAGTATCAGGTAAAATCAATAGCATTACATATTCTATCAGTATTCAAAAGGGCAGTAAGAGAATGACTTTGTATCAATAAATTTTTTGCTATGCCAGTGATTTAGAAGAATAAATTTATTGAAAACTACAATCCAAAACTTAATCAAGCATAAATAGATAATAGTTCTGAATCTATTAAATACATTAAACTTGTAGTGAAAATCTTTCAATAATGAGAACTTCAGAGCCTGGAATGGTGGTATATACCTGTAATCCTAGCCCCAGAGAGGACAGGAGAGTCATGAACTGATGGCCAATGTGAGTTATATAATGAGACCCTTTCTCAAAAAATATATATACATGAAAAATATTAAGTAAGCTTTAATAGTTACAAATTAATCTCAAAGAGTTAGAAGCAGTAAGCTAAGAAATCAACATCAGCTATGTGTAGAGCTCTATATTTTATTTTCATATTTAATTATATGTGTTCTCACAAATGGTAGCCTCTTTGCTAACATTAAAATTAGTAACATTTTATGCATATAAAGATCTTACCTGAATACTTATCCTTTAGGTGTGTTGCTAAGTCTGATGTCTTGACAAAGGAGGGTGTACTCTTTTGAAATTTTGCTTTAAATTTAATTGCCCTTTTATCATCATCAAACAGGCATTCACAGGATGACCACAGTGTTGTATGCAATTCTAAGTTTTCTAGTGTGCAATTGCGCTGAACAAAGAGGTACTTAAATTCCCAAATACAACCTTAAATAAAAAATAAAATGAAACCCAAAAGTCACCGAAACAGAAAAACAGTCTAGGCTCAGAATCAGATTAAGAACATTGACCTAATTAAATCAGTTAAACACAACTTTTATCATTAAAGAATTTTGGCATAAAGAGACAAAATGTAACTGTTTTGTTAAAGCAATTGAATAATAAAGCTGTAGACTTCTGTTTCTTTTTCAGATAGGGTCTCTCTTGCTGGTATGGTGGCACACACTGGTCTCTCTATACAGCCCACACTGACTTTGAACTCTTGTTCTTCCTGCCTCTGCCTCCAAGTACTGGAATTACAGGTGTGCACCACCACACCCAGCTAGAGATAATTATAATCATTTTTTTTCTAGTAATTTATTGGTGTCCTAAACTACTGCCTTATAGGATAGCAAATTCTCATTTTAAGATCTACAAAGTTTTTTTTTATTTTTTTCTACTAGTAGATGTTCTCTTAAGGGACATTGAAATGGACACAGATTTTGCATAAACAATAGTTCACTGATAATATAACAATTTAATTATCTAACTTAGCTAACTTCTCTAAGAATAGAAAAACAGCATTTAGACACAGTAGCATCTATTTTTAATTCCCTCAGTAACAACCAATATATTTTCTCTTTCTTTTCTTTTTCTGTTGTTGTGGTTGAGACATTGTTGCCTAGCTCAGGCTGGCCTCCAGTTCATTCTGTACTTGAGAAACCCTGAGTATCTGATCCTCCTCCTTCATCTCCTGAGCACTGCAGGTGTGCACCACCATGCTCAGTTTTTGCAGTGCTGGGAATTGAACCCAGAGCCTTGTGCATGCTAGGTAAGCATTCTACCAACAGAACTACATTCCAAGCCCCATAACTCTTAATTTTTAAACAACAGTGGCATCAACCTTCTTATTAAATAATCATGTTCTATATTAGTAAATTCAACTTTAAAATTTTACTAAAACAAAAGGGAGATTTCTTAGCACTAATTTTTCTGATAACTACAGCTGTCTTTTTCTTTTTCCATTTTGGGACGTACACCTACTTCTCTCTACCCACTCAGCTCCTTAGCTTCTTTCACTAAACATTTGTAGAAGTTGTTTTGTTTTTTGTACAGAATTAACAACAGGTCTGTACAGACAGCTATATTCCAAATTTCTGTCAAAACTAGTTACTACTGGTTAGGCTAGAGATTTATCTCTGGTAGAACACTGGGCTAGCATGTACAAGGCCCTGGGTTCAATCTCAGAATACAAAAAGATTAAAAATAAGTCCTACTTTTAAAAAAGCTTTCTTATCATCTATATAATACATGCTTTGAAATCACAGAAAAACTAAGTAAATAAAGAGCAGCTTCATAATCTCAACATCCTGAAATAAATAGGTAACATTTTAGTAGATGCACAGTATTTTTTATTTATTTGTGTTTTGCTTAATGTGTCAAATACATATTTTGCATATCATTAAATATCATTCTGTATTTTGGGGTTCTGAGGTGAGGTCTCCCTATGTAAGCTATGGCTGGCTTGGAACTCCCTATGTAGACCAGCCTGGTCTCAAACTTGATGTGATCCTTCTGCCACTGCCTCCTCAATGCTGTGATTAGAGGCATGGACCACCATGTCCAGCTAACATTTTTTAAGTTGAAAATGTCATTAAATAAACACACCAAAATCTTAAAAACCATCATAGCAATCCTCTGTTTTGTGATAAACACATTTTCAGCTATGTCTTTATGCACAAACCTAAATCACTGAAGCTGTAACTAATGAGTCAAAGGTATCCTAAATTCTTTATGCACTGTCAATTACTCTCAAAGAAGGTTCTGCCAATTTACACACTCAACACTTTATGACAGTGGCTGGCTTCCTCTGTAGAGTACCTGTCTTGATGCACAAAGCCTTTGCTCAGAACCCCAGTACCACCGAGAGAGAGAGAGAGAAAGAGAAAGAGACAGAGAGACAGAGAGAGAGAGAAACAGTGAATTTATTATATTTGTATGTCTTCAATTATTAGCAAGAAGTACTTTTCATATATTTATATGACATTTTTATTTTGTCCTTGAAGCCTTGCCTATTCATAGGATTTGCCCACTTTACAGATTTTTGCTTTCTGCATTATGATCTAATACAATGTTTTTCTGGGGTTTTGTATTTTTAAATTTTGTATATGAAGGGTTTATGTATACTAGCTTTGTTTCTACAATTTATTTAAACAATCTTTGATTTCAAATAAATTAAACTATATTCCCTTTCCTGCTCTCCCCTCCTCTCTCTTCTCCCCTCCTGTCCACTCCCTTCCTTTAAGTCTGCATCTAGGGTTTATTTTGGCACTGATATGAAACAGACATTTAAATCTTTCTGGGGTATGGTGTTTTTCACGCCTGTAATCCCAGCACTTGGGAGGCTGAGGCAAGAAGATTGACATGAGCTTCAGACCTACCTAGGCTACAGAGTGAGTTCAAGACCGTTGACAGAGTAAGTAAGCACTTTTAACTACTGATTCATCTCTCCAGCCCCGAATCAAAGATTAAGTCTGAATAATTAGAATCTCTTGACCAGGGATTTGGATATAGGGCTGGTCTCTTGAACGGAAAAGTTAAGTTAGGAGCTAGGGAGTAACCATATTCTATTTTTCATATGGTAGAAAAGTAGACTTGTATAAAGGGAATAACACAGATACACAAGAAGCTGGCAGAAGCCTTTGCAGCTTTGAGACTTCTGGTTCTAAGCCTCCATGAAGCCCGCTAGCACTCTTGTTCTTAGGTATGATGAGAAACTCTTATATATTTCTATTGTTTAAGCCAACCTGAGTATAATTCTATTTCAAATTATAAGCCCTGGAATATTTGGTTCTTTATACATTATTTTATGTTTATCCAATTACACTTTTGTTTGTGATAAGTTCTCATGTAGCCCAGGCTGACCTCAAACTAAGTAGCCAAGGATGGCCTTGAACTCCTGATTCTTGTGCCTTTATCTCCCAAGTACTGAGATTATAAGCATGTGCCACCAGACCTTGTCCCAAATACTCTTAAGAAGTATACATTATGCCCCTAGTTTACCCCCACTAGAACCTCAGCTGTGACCAATGCCTGCTGCATACGAAACATGCTAAATTCTCTAGCAATGCATGTATCAAAGGAACACAGACTCAAGTTTTCTTACTATTCTTCCCCAAAACATCAATTCCATTATCTTTAGTATTCAATAATGACTACTTGGGGATCATTCCTGATTATATCATCTACATATGAGTTTCTTATCCTTAAGTGTATGTGAAAACCAGTGCTGATTACAGAGGCTGATATGGAGATGGCCTCGAATACTAAATGCATAAATAAAGACTAACAATTTTGAAAGTATGATCACTTAAGTGACCCTTCAAAACTGTTATTTTTCTGCTTAGAAGAACTGTCTTGAGGTATGAAACTACAGATATTGAAACTTTAAATGATATAAATAAATTTAGCCTGAATTAATAACTACAGCAAAAATAATTACATATGAATCCCTAGACTCACGTTTTCAAAATTAACTGAAATGCCATAGAATTATCTAGAGATACCAACAATTTCTCTTCTATTACCACAAAACTATTAACTTCAAAAGGATATTCACATTAAGCAAAGAGCAACCTGTTCTACACAGTGCCACTTTAACCTCTGACCTACATTCTATCCAGCATGCACTGGACTCATGTTCCCAGCTAAGATCATGTCTATCACCAACACATGTTTGTCAAATTTCACAACTGAACAAATATCTGTCACTATTTGTTTCTAACATAAAAGGCAGACTTATCTCAAATCCTAGTTAGAGGCTATTAATGATTAAGAGACAATGTGACAGATCTTACTTCCAGATAGCCATTTGTTAGGCAGAAGTTTGGAAAGCAACGTTAACTCATTCAGGTAAGAAATAATGAATTATATGCTTGACCAATATCTAAATTAATTTTGCAGGATAAAGGAACAAAAACACTAACTAAAGCCACTAGCTCTGGTTGTTAAAACCAGAATTTCACAGTAACAAAAAGAACATATTGTACTAACTTATTGAAACAATCCCATTTAGTACATCATAAATTTTTAACCCATGCTTTAAAGAGAAATGTAACATTTGACCATATTTGTAATTTTATTTACTTATTTATTATTTTAAAGACAGGATCTGACTATGGAACTGACCTGGAACTTGCTATGCAGTAACTCACAGATATCCACTTACCTCTGCCTCTCCAGTGCTGGGATTGAAGGAGAGCATAACCATACCTGGCAGATCTTATCTTTTTATTTGTTTGTTTTGTTTTGTTTTGTTTTGTTTTATGAGACAAGGTTACCCAGTAGTCCCAGCTGACCTGAAACTTACTATGTAGACCAGGCTGGCCTCAATCTCACAGAGATTTGCCTGTCTCTGTCTCCCAAGTACTGGGATTAAAGCCATGCACCACCACACCTGGCAGATCTTGTCTTTTAAACAAGCTTTCTATGATGGCTAAGAGTTCATGCTTTTTAAAAAATATTTTATTTATTATTTTTATTTTATGTGTATGCATGTATTGCTTGCGTGTAGATAAGTGCACCTGTGTCATGCAATGCTCATGGAATACAGAAGAGGCTGTTGGATCCCCTAGAACTGGAGTTACAAACAGCTGCCATGTGGGTGCTAACACCCACATGATTCGAACCCCAGTCTTCTACAAGAACAGTCAGTGTTCTTAACCACTGAGCCATCTCTCTAGCCCCAGAGTACACACTTTTAACCAGAATAAAAACATAGAACTAGGGCTGGAGAGATGGCTCAGCAGTTAAGAGCACTTCTCTTGCAGAGGATCTGGGTTCAGTTTCCAGCACCCACATGGTGGCTCACAATTGTCTGGAACTCAAGTTCTAAGGGATCTGATGCACTCTTCTGGTCTCCTTGGGCACCAAGCATACACCTGGTACACATACATATATGCAGGCAAATACTCATACACATAAAATAAAAATAAATCTTTTTTTAAAAAAAAAGTCTAGAACAAAGTAATTAATTGAACAGAAATTGTGATGTGAAAAACTTAGTGTAACTTCCCTAGCATCTTCTTTCTAACAGAAAGGACTTTATTTATAAGAGCACTTTTGGGGGGGGGCAGTACATCTGCAGAATTAAAATTTCAAAGAACATTACTTGAAGGAAATAATGTCTTTACTGAAAATGGTAAAGTAATATTCCTGAGAATAAATATAAGCCTTTATTTTGCCACCATTAATTACCTAAATTGCAATAAGAAATATAAGATTACAAGAAAAGGGGCTGGAGAGATGGCTCAGCGGTTAAGAGCAGTGGCTGGTCTTAGAGAGGACCCAGATTCGATTCCCAGCACCCACGTGGTGGCTAACAACCATCAGTAACTCCAGTTCCAAGGGATTCGACATCCTCTTCTGACTTCTGAGCACATTGCATGACACAGGTGTACTTACATACATGCAGGCAACACACTCATAGACATAAAATAAAAACAATAAATAAAAATTCTTTGAAAGATTAAAATAAGAGAAATTTGCAGAGGAACATTCAATCATCATTATTTTTATTTCCAAATGCTGTAATCTCTTCAGATTCTCATCTCAGACTCATAAGAATTAATCATTTACCAAAATATAAATAGACTAAATACTTTTTCTCAGTGTGTTTACCTTTTCTCCTTTGAAGTTGAGTGTGCCAGGCTGCTCCAGGACCCCATAATACAAGTACATAATGCTGACCTTGGACCTGTTCCACTGTTAGCATAACTTTCTTTTGCTTCTGTCCTCTATAACTATATAATGCCTCTGGAAGAAAAAGAAATATCCTAGTTGGCATTGCTCTGCTCATACTGACAACCAAATAATATAGGAAATTGTTCTTGTATCTTAGTTTTTAAAAGCTGAAATTAAAGAGGCCCTCAAAATATTTACCTGTCACTGTTGTGACATCCACTACTCTTAGAATTGCATGGACTAATACATCAGGCTGCATCTGCTCCAATTCCACAAACTCTATAGTGGTCATTTTTGGAGGCTGTCGCTCAGGCAGATCTTTGAGATAGGAATGTTTTGAAGACACATATGCCAGTAAGTCCTGAAGTAAAACATTGCCAACTACACTGGTATCTAAGGAAGAAAATAACACACAAACATGGACGGGGGTGGCAGCATATTTTGTAAACAACACATAATCTGCCAGCTGTATTTTATGTTGTACAATGTAAATATATATATAAAAAACATAACAATCTCTACAAACATGGTTTATTCTTGATTCAGTTTAAATACAAAAACAAAAGTTGACACTACTAAGCAATGGAAACAATTATTACCACCTCCAAAACTTTTGTTCCTTTCCCTTCTCTCATTGGTTAATTGTATCATTTTCTACAAATTAACCAAGCTCAAATATTCCCTTATTTTTAACTCCATTACCTTGATAGTATCCAATTGGCTCCCCAATCTCCGAAGTCTAATTTGATCCTGTCTTTCCCAATTATTCTGACCACAGTCACCTCTACAGACTCCTTAGCACATCACATTTGAGATATTCCACAGGCCACCAAACTGGCTCTCTCACTGTTTAGGCCATTGTCCTCACCACTTCCAAGAGGCAATGACATTGTTATACTCCTCTGCCCCACCCAAACACCACACAGCACAGCAACCCTGCACAGGTTTCTTCCTTCCCTTAATCAGAGACTTTTTTTCAGTCTCTAAATCTCATTTGATATTTAAACATGTTTTATATTGTAATGTTTCTCTTAACAGTAAAACAGTTATTTAATTAGACATGTCATTGAAGATATTTTCTCTTCCTGTCTCAATTTTTTTCTTTTTTTACCGAGGTATACTTTACATACAATACAATATAATACATACATTTTAAATATATAGATCGGGCCACTCAGATGACTCAGATGACTCAGCAGTGCTTGCTGCCAAACCTGACATCGTGAGTTTGATTCCTGGGCTCCACATGGTGGAGAGAACTGAGTCTCACAAGTTGTCCTCCAGCCTCCACACATTCATCACACATATGCACACACACACACACACACACACACACACACACACATAAACACATATACACCTACACATACATAAAATAAATAAAGGTAATTTTAAGACTTATTTGAAAGTATATATTGGGTGGTTGGAGAGATGGTGCAGTGATTAAGAGCTCTGGTTGCTCTTGCAGAGGACCAGGGTTTGGTTCCCAGCACCCACATAGCAGCTAACAACCATCCGTAACTCTAGTTCCAGGGCATCCAACACCCTCATCTAACTTCCCCAGGCATTGCCTGACACAGGTGCACTTACATATATGCAGGCAATACACTCATACACATAAAATAAAAATAATAAATAAAAGTATTTTTTAAAAAGAAAATAGCAGGATCCAAGAAGTGAGACAAAACATAGGCACCATCTGCTATAATCTCCAGGGAATAAACTGGGTAACAGCTTTAAAAGAAGTAGGTGACAGCTGAAAATTGCTAGTATGACAGGAAGGTAAAATTGGAAATTTTAAAAGCAGAACTGGAAAAATACAGCCTGTCCTGGAGGGATTAGCACAGTCGGGGGAGCTCCTCCCTCCCAGTGAAAGCGTGACTGGAACCATGCTTAAGACAAAGTCTCAGAAAACTTGTACTGTACTCTTAGTAGCCAGATATTTTAAAGGGAAGGGGAGGGAAGAGGGGGGGAGGGGAGGGGTTGTGCATGACAGTGGCAGAAGGAGGGGAGGGAAGGGGAGGAGAGGAGAGAAGTTATGCATGACAGTGGCAGAGGGAGAAGTACCCCAGGAAAACCCTTTGCTTCAGCACTTGGCCAAAGCATCAGTAAAATGCTGGTTTAAAAAGAGCCCTGCTCAGTCTGTGGCTTGGTGGCCCCAGCACCTCAGTGACCCTCACTCTTGGGACACTCAGTGCAAATGTCATGGGACTATACTCTGAAACCTCGCCAGCAGAATATTTCTAGACTGAGAGGAAGAAACACAGGGCCAGAACTCCACAGTACTCAGCAAGGTGGAAACCCAATCAGAAACAGAGTCTGCAAGGGCACATAGGCACAGGATGCAAGCAGTATGCCCTGCATCTAGAATTACAGCCTAGGAGTGGTACCCGCATTCTCTGCAGGTGAGAATAGTACACATATCCTGACCCCTAAAGGACTACACAGAGGTGCAACCAATTACTGTGACCAAATCCACAAAGAACCACCCATTGACACCTCAAATATATTACAACCTAACCCCACTTGAACACTGCAAGTATCGCAACTGAAAGAAGAAAGCTGTTTAATAAGAATCCAAGCAACAAAATAAACCCAGATATGTAAATCCCAATGAAGTAATTTTTTTAAAAAGCAACATAACTCCTCCAAAAATTACTAAGCCCAAAGTAATGGCCTTCAGTGAGTATGGATTAGGTGAAATCCCACACAAATAATTCAAAAATATAATTATAAGTAAGTCAAACTAAAAGGATGGTGGAAAGCCTTATCAATACAAAATTCTGACCAAGGGAGAAGAACAGAATAAGCCTAAAGACAAGGTAAAGGAATTGGAATGCTCTAACAAAGACTAATTATTAAAAGAGGCAAGAACAGCACTTTCAAGACATTTGAAATACCATGAACAAAGACCAAACCTAAGAATCATGGGCACAGAAGGAGAATTTCACTCTAAGGACATAGAAAACATTTTTGACAAAATCATAGCAGAGAATTTCCCAAAATTATGGGAAAAGATGTCAATACAAGCATTTAGAACACCAAACAGGTAAGACCAGAAACTGTCTCACTTCCCCAATCAAATGCAAAATAATAAATTAACATTTGAAAATTGCCCTGTTCTGACTTTTTTCTAGTTCCCGGTCTAGAACTTGTAATGGTAATTACTCTTACCTTTACTTCTCCTTCACATCTCCCATTCAGGATTCAAGAACTTTCTTCTCCCCTTAGAGACAAAAGTTAGGCAATTTGAGAGTCTTTTAGATAGACCCACTGAAGGGGTACTCCAATTACCTCACCCTGCGTCCCTGTTCAGCATGGAAGAAGCCAGAGCAGTAGGTGTCCCTATTCCTATTGGCAATTTGGGTAACCCCTTCAGAGGATGGTGTGATAAGAATAGGAGGTAGGAATTGGCTAGGCAGTTAGGGTAAAAAGCCCCCAAAGAAATGTAGCCCGTTTCTTGTCCTTGGGCCAGTTACCAACATACTCTGTTCCAAGGCCAAAAATGTCAAAAGTATTTGGGAGCTTGTATCTAATCCTTAAAAGATTTTAGGGTTACCTCTTCAGAGGGGGGAATATTGGAGGGGAGGGAGTGGGCATGGATTTGATCAAAACACTTTATATGCATGTATGAAATTCTCAATGAAGTTTTTGTAAAAATTTTTAAAAAAAGAATAGATTAAAAGGCAAGTATAATGGTTAGTTTTAATTATCATAGAATCACCTGGAAAGAAAGTCTCAATGAGAGACTGTCTAAATTAGGTTGGCCTGTGGACATGTCTGTGGGAGAGTATACTGAATATCTTAATTGATGTGGAAAGATCCAGTCCACTGTGGGCAGTGCCATTTCCTAGGTTTGGCTCCTGGGCTGTATAAGAATGAAGAAATTCAGGGCTGGAGAGATAACTCAGTGATTAAAAGCACTGGTTGCTCTTGCAGAAGACCAGGGTTCGAGTCCCAGCACCCACATGGCGGCTAACAACTGTCCGTAACTCCAGTTCCAGGGGAGTCCAACACCCTTTTCTGACCTCCTTGGGCATCTGAACAGCATGGGTACACTTACATACATGCAGGCAATACACTCATAGACATAAAAAATTAAAACAAAGAATGGAGAAGACAAGCTGAACACTAAGCATACAAGAACTCATTTCTCTCTGCTCTTGACCGTGGACGTGATGTGACCAAATGTTTTAAGATTCTGCTGCCTGCTGATTACTGCTGAACAAGAAAGAGCTGATCTTCTTAAAGTGAGGGGCTCTAGATAAACTGCCTAGATCCCAGTGGATGAACTTGCACTGAGGGATGTCTGGGGACACTAATAGGCCTTAACACAAATGACAGAATGTATGAATTCCAGAGCAGTAGGGGTTACAGGAGGGTGCTGATGGGGAAGGGAGTATAAAGATGATTAAGTTTGATTATGATGTTCTGTATAAAATACACAAAAATTCAATAAAAAAATTTACCAAAAAAAAAAATGATCCTGCTGACTTGACCCCCTGCTATGATGTACTGCAACCTGGAACTGTGAGCTAACACATATTCTTTCTCTCCTAAGTTGCTTTTTGTCATGGTACTTTATGATAGCAAGAGAAATGAAACTCGGAGATCAGGATACATCTATCTATTGCCTCTAAGAAATACACCTCATCATAAAATGACAAACAATACCATAGGGTAAAAGTCTGAAAAAAAGGTATTCCAAGCAAATGGAGCTAGGAAGCAAGCAGGTGTATTCTAATATCTGAAAGAATAGACTTCAAAACAATAAATCACTTCACACTAAGAGAACAAGTCATCAAAATGACAATTCTAAACATAAACACATCAAACAGGTATACCTACTTTCAGATAATAAATACTACTAGATGTAAAGTCACAGAGTAACCCCAGCACAGTACTAGAGGGTAACTTCAATACCCTAATCTTATCAACTGGTAGACCATCCTGGCAAAAATGAAGAAAGAAAATGTCTGAATTAAATGCCATCATAGATCAAATGGATTTGATAAACATCTATAAATCATTCCATGTAAACACTACAGAATACACATTCTTCCCAGCAGCTCATGGAACTTTCTCTAAAGGATATCACATATTAGGACACAAGGTAAATCTTAACAAATAAAGGAAAATTGAAATTATTACTTGTATCTGATCACAACAGAATAAAGCTACAAATCAACAGCAAGATAACCTCTAGAACACACACAAATTCACGGAGATGAAACAATACACATCTGAATGATAAACGTATCATTGAAAAAATAATCAAGGGAAATTAAAAAACCCTTAAACTTCTAAGAATGTAATGAAAATGAAAACACAACATACCAAAACCTCTGGGTACAATGAAAGCAGTCCTAGGTGCCTATATTTTTTTTAAAAAA